GAAGAATGAATGCAGTTCTGAAGGCAATGGGCTCCAACCTAGTATTAGGTATACACAGTAGTAGCAACATAGTTGCTGCAGATTTGTCTGCTACACGGACACGATGCAAATATCTGCACATGTGTGACTGTGGAGGCCATGCCTGGATTATCGGTTTACAGACCTCTGGGCACAAATGTTTTGTTTGGTTGTTTTTATGGTCAGGCTTTTCTTTTCTCAGTAGTCATACATCTCATACAAGTATGTGTAAACAGAACGGTTTTATAGAGACTTTTTATGGAGCACTTTAACTTACAGAAAAAAAAGTGGTCAAGGCAGTGCACTGTTCCACTAAAATCTTTAAATTGTCAGATATGAAATGGAAAATAAAGTCTTTGTAAAGGAATAATAATATATCTCATTTAAGTTTACACACACACACGTTCTTGTCTCATCCCTGTCTCTACGTCTCCCTGACAATTTCCTCCTTTTCTTCCTTTCAGTGGTGCTTGCCAGTACCACTCCACTCCATCTGTTGTGCTTTTTCACAGTCCCACAACTGAATGAGTGCTTAAATAATAATTGATGTGAAAGTAAATAGATTTGCCTTTTTTCATTTGTCAAAAATGTTTAAATTAAATTAAATAGACTAATGGATGGGCCCCCAACTGTGGTAAGCCCCTGCAGATGTGTCCAGAATGATTAATCCAGCCCTGAGTACAGTGTTCAAGACACCAGTTTGAGATCCTCTGAGCCTTGCAACTTGGCGTGTTGTCCTCGGAGGATGGGTTCACTGTGGTTATTAAAGGATGAACATTACTCGGGTAGTCTGTGGTGTTTTAAATGATGCTCAGTTGGGGCCCAAAGCATGCCCAGAAAATATCCCTTACATCATTACACCACAAGCAGCCTGGACCATCCATACAAGGCAGGATGGATCCATGTTTTCATGCTGGTTTTGCCAAATTAGGACTGTACCATCTAAATGTCACAGGAGACATGAAGACTCATCAGACCAGGTAACATTTTTCCTGTCTTCTATTGTCCAGTGTTGTTTAGCCCATGTGAACTGTAGCCTAATTGCCTGTTCTTAGCTGACAGGAGTGGCACAGGGTGTGGTCTTCTGCTGCTGTGTTGCATGATCAGAGATGCTTCTGCATACTTTGGTGTTAGCAAGTAGTTACTTAAGTTACTTTTGCCTTCCTACCAGCAGGGTAGGGAACAGTAACTCAGAGAACTGCTGCTCACAGGATATTTTTTCCTTTATTTTTTTCGATGACTCTGCATTAAGCCTAGAGATGGTAGTGTGAGAAATTATCAGCAGATCAGCAGTTTCTGAAGTACTCGAACCATCTGACACCAACAACTATGGCACGTTTACTTAAATCGCCTTTCTTCCCCATTTTGATGCTCAGTTTGAACTTCAGCAGGTCATCCTGACCATGTCTACATGCCTAAATACACTGATTTGCTGCCAAGTGATTGCCTGATTAGGTATTCACATTAACTGCATCACTGGGGTGAAAATCTATTCATGCAATCAGGTTCTCATAGTGAACATATTTGTGCAAATTTTCACGAGACTACTTCCACTTTCTGTTTAGATCAAAGTGGTAAACCATTAACTAATTAACTAAACAGAATAAAATAGGTAGCCTTAAATAAAAAGTAAATGTCCATGTCAGCAGTGTTAGTTTTGTACAGTGCATACAAAGGATGATGAATGTGTCTTTTCACAGTTGAAAGGCAGCTAATGGAGCAAGCAGACTTGTTAGACAAAAAGGCCCTTTAACAAGGACACGAAAGACACATAAGGACACAGAAATGTGTCTGAATTAACTCATCCTTCACCAGATGAACATCAAAGATTTAGACTGTTTGTTGTAAAGTTTATTATCTTTCAATTAGTTGCATCATCTTATATATTCAGGAGTTTGAGGATTTTCAATCTTGTCTTGTTGATAGCAAAGCATGCCATCAACTTCCAAGTCATGATATTGTCATGTATGTCTGAAGCAATAAATATACAGACAACAGATGGGTGACCAATGAGCCTTTTGATGATATTGATTAAGATTTTTGGGGGGGACAAAGTTTGGTTGCAAACAAGTGTGGTCTGCAGCAAAAAATCTTTAATCAGCTACTCTGTGACCGCAATCCTACATTTTCTGTGACTGTTTTGTGGTATAAGCCAATTTATGTTTAGTCAATTAAATGTTTTGAATGAAAACCAACTGCACTTAGACTTCCACTTGTTCAGAGTTAAAATGCCAGTCTTCTCCACTAACAGCTAAAAGCCATACTTGAGAGGCAATTACAGAATTGAAACATGGATTTTGCTTTAAACAAGCTTTAAAGCAGGGAAGTGTCTATGGCTGGGCAAGGGTGGACACTGCCCACTAGAGGAAAAGTCTTGCCAACTAAGAAGCAAAATAATTTTTTTATATGACCTACGATACAATCACATGTTGCTAGGGACAAATATGTATTCACTGACTTGCTAACAGTGTTTCATGGAGGTTTATGTCTGTTGCTGGATGAATTCAGTTTCAAAGTAGGTGCTGAACCAAAAACCTCCTTGTGATTCCTTTGGTTGTTAGCAGATTGCCACGGTTGGCTGTAGTTTTTATTCCTTACAAGGATTTGCAAACTATTAGCTCAGCTGTTGTAAAACTTCTCCATTTGTGGTTTGCATTGCACTTTTCATAGTTTCATTACAGCTCAGAGAGTATCTGATCAGTGTTTATAGATAAGTCCCTCGCTTCCATGCAAACTATGAGTATCCAGCAATACACTAGTGGTCAAAGCAATCAGAAGGAGACTTTTGATAACAGGTTGGGGAACATACATTTTTTCAACAGCAACAGGTGATTACCAGGGGATTCCTGACTGGCCTGCAAACCTGCATGATTTGGAAACGAGCAGTCATTTTCCCAGCAATTGCCATCAGCCTCCAGTGGCCACCCACAACTAGTTGGGGAATGCTCACGATCGGTGGTTTCCAGATGGTTGCGGACCAGTCTTAGATTGTGTGACTGTGACTGATTCGTCTGATCCTACATTATGACGACAATTTTCACATGTTCATGTGAGTGCTGAAGTCTCCAAGGAGCTATGGAGTCCTCAGGCAGAGCCCCTTCTAGGAAATTCACCAAAACACTCCAAGAAGGCCAGAAAAGGTCTGAAAAGCTGTTTGGCGTTTATGCACAGGCAAGAGTCTAAACCTTACCCTCCATGACTCAAAGTCATACAGAAGTGGCTCTTTCTCGCTGCTTCCGGGTCAGGAAACGGGGGACTCTTCTTTCATAACCACATTTTTGTTCTTGCCCTCCAAAACAATCGAAATACTCACCAAAAAATAAGATCTCAGCAAAAGCTCTGCCCTAAATATTAAAAAACAATCCTAACTAAAAGCTTGATGGTCTGTTGATATAGAAAACATGATAATTCATGTATCTTTAAAAAATGACCACCAGAATGTTCTTCAATCTGGCAACCAAAATGATTTTCTTAATATTAAACTCTTATCAAGCTTTACAGTGATTTCTTGTTTTATCCAAAAAAACCCAAAACAAAACCCACCCACATATCTTCTTATGTATTAATATGTGGGACATTTGTGTTGCAGCAACGTGCTGCAACTGGATGTTATTGTTACTTTTATGCTCGGGTCCTAAAGTATCAGTTAGTGTGTTACCATTTCATTTGACATCGTCCTTATTTACTTCATTTTAAGGACTCTAAGCTTAATCACTCAGCTCTCTCAGTAAAACTTATGACTGTTTAATCCCATCAGCAGCAGGGATTGATGTCAGAGTATTACTGAATTTGACAAATGACAGAAGCAGTACAACTGGGATTCAGTTCTTGGTAAAATGTTGATTCATGATTTCTGAAAACCCTACTTTCCAACTTCCCTCAAGCTTACAGGACTTTGCTAAACAGATTAATCTTCCACACACAAAATCAACTTTTCCTCAAGCACAGCAACACAAGGAGTTTCACTGAGGCATTACAGCCATCTCGCTATTGCATCAGTCAACAAGTTTTGTGCGAGTTAAGATGGTTGCAGAAGTTGCGTGTAGTTATTTCCTCTTCTTTTTTTTTTTTTTTACAGAGTTCTTACTAGCTGAGTTTTATTGCATTAGGCAGATAGCACAAGATACTGTGTAATTTATTTTAATTTTTGACAGTATCCACAAATGATTTATTACTTCCTGTCATGGTCATTCCTGCTAATGAGGCATCATTAGCATACACGGTTACATAAGGACATCTGCTAGAGGTCAGCAGCACTAACCCAGTCAACCACGCCTCCTCCACCTACCCTGATTGGTGTCTTTTTATGAATATGTGAGAAGGGTCTTATGGGTTTGACTCAGAGACCATTTAACATTTTGTGCGTGTGTGTGTACGTGTGTGTCTGTGTGTGTGTGTGTGTGTGTTTGTTTTTTTTAAAAAGAGAGATAAATGCCACTTTTTCAGATCCTGACTGTGTATATAAAATTATGTGGCATATAAAAATATATTTATGACCTAATAAATGACAAAGAGCAAAGTTTATTTAGTGTGGTTTGAGTCTGGGAGAGATTTTATTATGTTATTTTATGATGTTTCTAAAGTAGTTTACCCTGACTGATTACTGAACTGTGATTATCTGTCAAAATGCTTCTGTACTAATTTGTATATTTGCAAATGTAGCACAGAATAAAAAAAAAATTTTTCATGTGAAATAATGTAGTTTTATATACTAACATTCAAAAATTTTGAATGTCATACCATTACAACAGTATGCTATTTGCTGTACTAATTGCACATTATATTCTGACCACACTCTACCTTGTTCTACAGAGTACTTAACTTAATTTGTTTTTCTATTATTAGTATTCTTGTACTTTTGATTAGTTGTATATATTTACTACGGTAGCAGGTAGCAATATTTCATTCATTTGTAAATCAAAAAATGAATGAAATGTGGGCTGAACGGTCAGGTTCAGAATGTTACTTCGCAGCCACCGTACTTTTCTGAACGGGAAAAGGCGTTTGTTTGTTGTGTTACCTGTTAACATTAGCTAAAGACATGGCGGAATACGCACACGTAAAATCTACCAAACTGGTTTTAAAAGGTCATAATAAAGGGTAAGGGCTATATTTGCTTTGTGGCATTACCCGATGCCACCTCAACTACTTTTCGGGGCTTATTATGTGCTCTCTTCTCTGCTAGCTTTAATTAATACGCTAGGCTAGGCTAACAGTAATGCTACAAAGAAGAAACTTACCTCTTACCCGTAGTTAACCAACATATCTACAGTCTTTAAGGTTGGACAGGAACGTTTTTGAAAAAAGGGCTTTGCAAGTGAAATAATTACCAGTCAAAATAAACAGAAAGATTTAAAGATAAAGCGTGGTGTTAAACCACCAACCTGAAGGCTTTCCTAAAGCATAAGTTAACTGGAGTAACATAAACTAACCTGTTAGCAATGTTAAAGAAAGTGTAAGTGAGAGAGAAAGAACTACAAAGAAAAAAAATAAACCACATTATGCAGCATGTGGTTTGCAAAAAATATCATATTTATTATAAGGAACATAAATAACTTCATAAAATGAAAGCTCCAAGCTATAGCTAAGACGCACTCAGAAATATTCGAAAACATTGGACTTGTTTGTATTTTGTTGCATTTGTAAAGCCAAACTCGTTTTGAGTTTGGGTTAAAATTCACTAGAGCTGAATACTTTTATGGAGAAACAGAAGTCCTGAAACCCTTTATCCATATAAAATAATAAATGATAATATTCATTTGGTATTGCTTAGTATTTAGTATATATTATTTGGTATTATTCCAAGAGAATGTAAGTTGCATTTCAAGGAAAATGCTTGGATATTGCAAGGTCTATTTTGTAATTAAATTTAGCTACTGTACAAATTAAGACATTTTTGATGTGTGAAAAAAGTAATAAAATACTAAAACAAAGCAGTCTGCCTATTTACTTGACACAAACATTTTCTTTACATAGGAATATGTATATATGTATTGTAATAACTTTGTAGCTGGCAGGGTAAAATATACCCACATTAATTTGTCTATTAACTAGAGCTCATTAAGAAGCTGATCTTTTCCATCTTGATATTAATGTCACAGGAAAAAGAAGAAAAACAAAGATAAGAAAAGAAAAGCCACAGATGAAGAGGAAAGGCTTGATATTGTTGGTATGTATATCTTCTGTATTTTACATTACTATTTTGTCCATTAAGCAGTAAGTGTTCTTTGAGCATACAAACAGCTAAGATGATATCTGTTTCAGATATAAAAACAAATAAATTAGAGGGGTCTGTTCAAACTCATTTAAACTCATTCAAACATTAACATTCTTGTTACATTCATGACTGAAGGAATATATTCTTCCCTACTGTTAATGTCTCTTAAATTCACAGTAGTGCCGTGCATTATTTAAGCTCTGACATGGACCTTTTTTTCTCACTAGGTGGCTGGTGGTCTGTAAGCAGCTTTGGAGAAATTACAGGAACAGTTGCCATAGAGATGCAGAACAAGTCATACATCCATGCCCTGGATACCGGTCTCTTCACACTCGGTTCACCACACAAAGGTAAGAGGAGAGACTGGGGTTACATCAAAATTCAACTCATTTTTTTTCAAAGGTTCAGCTATTTCTGCAGCTCATGGCTTATTCTAGAGACAGTGGAAGTTATTAGCTGATAAATAGTGTAAAACTATTTGAAGTCTGTGTCCTGTGCTGTATCTATACAGCATAGAGCTAAATTTCATTCAAGGTTTTTTTTATTATTATTTGTTTGTTTTAAGCGACATGAGACATTATCATGAAATCTGAACTCAGATTGTGCAAAGAAACTTGGAAGTGCTTAGTGGATAGCGCTAGGCTAGCAGTAGGCTGCCTGTACTAAGCAATTATGGATGAGGGTTTGGAATTTAATGTGGTTTAAAATAAGCAGTAAGCTGGAATTATTTTTTCTCAGTCGGTAAGCAACAACATCTACCTGCTGTTATCCAGCTTTGTGTTTTCATATGACCTTAGCATGCTATTGAAATGTTATTGTCATTGTTTAAAAGCATATTCTTAGGCTTTTGTAATCCTTTGTACAGCAGCTTATTATTACAGTTAGCCATGTTGCTAATGATTGGCAGTCCAAACGCATGCCAACTAATACAACCAAAAGGTTAGCAAGTAGATCAAGTTGATCCACTAAGGTAATGCTAATATAAACAAAGAATATGTACATGGATACTCCTTTCCATTCTCCTCTTTGTATAAAAAGGAGTGTGTGAATCTAGGATTTAATTTTTAATGACATGATTCTTCTAGTTTGTGCTCATAGTTATTTATTTTGTGTTCATCACTCTGCCTGCTGTGTTCAGTGTTGTTTTTATATTAGAAGTAAAACAGGAAAGTTATGTGATGTGGCACAACAGTTCCTGTTGAGTCACTAAAGGGAAAAAAGTTATCTATTGTAGATTTAACTGTAAGATCAGCTCCTAGGAACTGTGATTTAGGTTTCACTGGTGTCTATTTTTTTTATTTTGTTTTGGGTCTTGTTTTGTTTTTTATGGGACTGTACGAAGTCCGAACCAGAAGTTTCACCCTGTTCAAGTTTTGTCCATTCCCTTTGCCTTCCTTACTTTGGGGAAATGGACAAATGAAGCTGAATGTGGTGAGTTGAGTTTGAGGTGATTATGTGGATTAAAAAAAACAAAACAAAAGCAGACATGTGATGGCAGGCCCCTCAGCTCAGGTCATTTGCACCTCAGATGTGGTCATTAAAGTAGAACTTTGCACTGGGAGCCTGAGCCTGTCGCTGAATTTATGGTATATGACCTGCTGACTTTGCATGTTCGTGGTGGAGTGGAGCTCTCATCACTCCTAACTAGGGCTGTGCGATATGACGAAAGATATCTGATGACGTAATTAAAACATCTATCGTTTCATATTGTAATGCTATCATTTGTTTCGTGGTGTGGCAAAATACACTGTATACAGCAATATTTTTTCATTGTTTGGATGGTCACTACATGGATGCGGGCACAGAGAATACCAGCATGGCTACTGGGATGAAGCAGAACCAGGTAGCTCCAAACAGAAGGACCAGTCAAAACAAATCGAGGACCTTATTTCTAAACAAGGGGCTACCTCTGTTCATGGACATGGTTTGGTTATGAAAATTCTGATATGGGCCAGAAAACTGAACTATGCAAATTATGCCACAAATCGGTCCCCACCACAGACAAAATGCAGTCATTAACAAAGCATGCCGTAAAACTATTGCTGCAAAAGGTAGCAGTACCATGAATTTATTCCACCAGCTGAAAAGTCTTCCACTGCAAAATGAGACAGTTTAATCTCGGCATGTCCACGTCTCCCCACACACCAAAGAAAATGTTAAATAAATCAGCTGTGATACCTGTGACTATTCCTCGTCAGTTGTTTTTATAGTCACTGTTTACACTTTTGTTTCTGTAATTTGAGGTTTATTGTAAAATTTTTATATGTTAGAAGCATGAAGGAGCACATTCTTAATTTCAGTTGTTTTATTTTGTCTCCTAAATTCTATGGCACTATATGGTTGAAAATAACATTTGTATACCGTGTATTGTGATGTAGCCAAAAAATGTTGTGATAGATTTTCCTCATATGGTCCAGCCCTACTCTTAACACAATAATTTGCATCGCCCTTTCTCTGAGGTCTTATATGATCGGATGATAATTGTACATCTACTAACACAGTGGTTCCCAAACTTTTTTTTGCTAGGCCCCCTTTGTTTTACAAGAAAAATGTCTCAAACCTCTAACATTTAGTAAACAATTAAGCAAATACAAGTAAACTGCAATAAATTACAGGTAGTATTAAAATAAAATACTAACTCTTTTACGCTACGTCCACACCTACATGGGTATTTTTGAAAACGCAGCTGTTTCATCCACACGTAAACGGCGTTTGGAATCACTGAAAATGGAGATTTTTTAAAACTCCTTTTTTGCGTTTACGTGTGGACGAGGAATACGTAGTTCGTCTCGCAACGTCAAAGGTATGTGCCTTTTTTCACATCACGCTGTGCGCCACATTATTGTTTACATGAGATGAATTGCAGAATGGCAGATAGAGACAAAATACTCGCAGTTACTGTCCCTCCATTTAGAAAGGCAGAGGCGTCACGGTGTGATTATTTTACGTGTAGTTGTTTTTTTTTTCTGTGTAATAATATTCAACATTGCTATCAATACATTTTT